GCCAGCCCCGCCCGAGCCCCGCCGGCCCCCGGGGACCCCCGGGCCCGCAGCACCCGCAGCCCCCACCTCGCCTCGAAGGCCCGCACGTCCCCCTCCGTCACGGCCGCGTGTGGGGCCAGGTCGAATCTGGGGTGGGGAGGGGACACAGGGTCAAGGGAAACAGCAACACCCCGGAAAATCCCCCCAAAACCACCCGAGATCCGTCGGGAGCTGTGAAGGTGTGGGTGTAATGAGGTGGGAGCGTTCTCTGGCTGCCCAGGCACTGAGTGGTTTGAAATCTGAGGGTGCAAACCTGATTGTGGGGTCAAGGGAGACACCAACACCCCAAAAAATCTCCTTGAGGGCGGCAAAATCCTCTAAAAATAAGTAGGAGCTGTGAACCCACTGGTGTAAGGATTTGTGCACGTTCTCAGCCTGCTGAGATACCAAACGCTGAGAAATCTGGGGGTGCAAACCCGTTTTGGGGCGCAGGGAGGAACACAAGGTCTAGGAACAGCTTATAAAAAACCCCCAAAAGCCCGTGAAGGTCAGCGGGAGTCGGGAATGTGCTGGTGTGATGAGGTGTGCCTGTTCTCTGAGAGCCCTGGGGGTGCAAGGGGACCCCCCGAAAGGATACTTGGTGCCCACCACCATCCTGATGATGTCGCGGTCCCCGGGGCCCAGCACGCGGTCCATGAGCGCCGGCAGCTCCTCGAAGGACGCGCGGTCCGTGAAGGAGAACAGGAACAGGGCAGCGTCCGCCTCCTCCTTACAGGCCTGGGGACAGGGACACCCCCTCACCGCGGGGTCCCGGGGGTGCCCCCCACCCCAAAAAGCCTCCCCAGCTCACGGGCAGCAGGTGCTCGAATTTCCTGAGCGCTCCATCCCCGCAGTCCCAGAGGTGCAGCTGGAACAGGACGGGGCGGCTGCTGCCGCGGGGCTTGGCCGGCCAGAACAGCGTGGTGGCCTCGATGCCTGCGGGGACATCGGGGACCGTCACCCCAGGGACCCCCGGGACCCTGCGGGGACCGTCACCCCCGGGAGCCGGTGTCCCCCCGGGCCGTACCCAGGGTCTCGTGGTGGCCGAGCAGCCCGGGGGTCCCACCCAGCCAGGCCACCAGCGCTGTTTTGCCGACGCCGCTTCTCCCGGCCAGGAAGAGTTTGTAGGTGACAGTGGGGACAGCCAGGGCGGGCGGCAGCGCAGGGCGCTCCAGCAGACCTGGGGAGGGGGCTCAGGGTGACTCTGGGGGGCTGAGACCCCGGTTTGGGGGGCGCAGGGGGGGCACTCACCGAACACTCTCCGCTGGTTCTTGTGCAGGATGGAGTCCAGGTAGGGGCGGCCGGCGGGGGAGAGAAGCCAGCCCGGCTCCAGCGCCCAGTCCTGCTCTGCCATGGGCCCCAAACCTGGAGCCCCCTTCCCTCATGGGGTCACTGCATCCCGCAGCTTTGGGGACCCCTTCTGGCCTCACCCCAGGGTCCCTAAATCCTCCATCGGTTCACTAAAACACCCCCCCACGTCCCGGCATCCTCCCGTGGGGTCCCCCAAACCACCCATGGGGTCCCTGACCACCCCTCTGGGGGATGCCTGACCCCCTTCCATGGGGTGTGTGTCCCCCCTGTGGAGTTCCTACATCCTCCCATGGTGTCCCGGACCCCTCATGGTGTCCCTGACCCCTCTCTGGGGTCTCTGTGTCCCTCTCTGGGCTCTCTGTGCCCCTCTCTGGGGTTCCACCACCCTGCCATGTGTTCCCTGACCCCACCATGGGGGTGTCTGTGTCCCCCTGCCACCCCTGTACCCCACCACAGGCTCCTTCCCGTGCACCCCCACAGGGCCCCACCGGGCTCCTGCGGGTTCCCTGGCCCAGTCGGGGGTCCCTGACGCCCCTGAGTGTCCCCATGTCCCTCACGGCCCCTCACGGCCCCTCACGGCCCCTCACGGCCCCTCACGGCCCCTCACGCCATCCC